TGGTTTGGTTTTTGCGGGTTGAATCATGGCTGGATTAAAATTAGTGAGAAGTCGGGTAATTTTCCGTGGAGAGTATTTAGCCATGGGTCCCTGTCGTTCTTTTATTTCTTTGTCGGTGTCCTTGCGAAACGAGTCGCCAGGCTGGTGTATCTTTTTTGCTTCACTTTTCCGGAACAGTGAACAAATACGAAGGGATGCAATATTGACAACGTTCTCTTTAAAATGGAAATTATATAGGAAGAACATTGAGAAACACGTCAACAAGAGACTTGTAGAATTAAAAGAACAAGAAGAATGAGAAAGTAACAAAGATCTTTTACAGAAAATTTAATATCCAGAGTCTGCAGATAGAAAATCTATGAACAATCTTTGTATACATCGAATGTATCATAATTCTTGTTTCAAGGTAATTTTAGTCGAGACTTTCAATTAGCGTAAGAAATATGAAAGCCTGAATTGAAAAACTGAAATTCAAATGGTTTCGTTCTTAAATCTCTTTACTCGGAAATGCATGATCGTGCATGCACGTACATAATCATCTGTACATACTACGTATATACATAGGTAAATATATACGGTCCACGTGAGACCGGTGGGACACGGCATCGGTGGCACACGTTTCGCCACAATCACATGCTCAGAATTCGTGATTCGCTCGCATCACGTTTATCTGGATTCTCTAGGGCAGACAGCATCGGCGACGGGAGGAGAGTGAGGGACGGACGTTGGAACTATAAGGACTTGAGGCTCACCTTCCGCTTTATTCACTTGTAGACTGACCATCCGTCCGTTCGCACGTGGGCGAGACGACCCTGCCCGCGAGTTCACTCAGCATTCGATTCTGAAATACTCAGTCGCCAGATTTCGTTCAATCCGTGACAAAAGATGAAGAGCTTCGTTTTTCTTGGGATAGTCGTGGCCACTCTCTGTGCTAGTTTTGGCCTCGAATTGCGTAAGTAATTTTTTCATACATTACTTTATAGATTAGATCGACTGATAAAAGATTGAAATTTTCATTTAACACGTGATTAATAAATCTGTACAAATCTGTAGTTTAATAATAACATAGATATAAATATCGATGGTAACGTTACGAATTTTTTTTTATTTTTATCTACGAGAGTATTGAAATAAAATCCAGATGTGATTCTATTTTAATTATTTCAATCTTCATGTGTTTTAATATAGACTGACTTGCCTATTCTTGTCTCAATTAAATGCACAGAGTTGACAGCTATTAATCACAGTTGACAGGATAACTAAAGCATATGAATTAACAAACTCATATAAAAACTAAAAAACAACTTTTTTAATCACATAATTGATTGTTAAACGTGTTCTTTTGTGTTGAAGTGCTTTGAACATTAACAGAGTAACTCAAGTATTTGAATTGCCAATTATTTGATTGGCAACTAAATAATTGCAGAGTTTGTCGATAGACTTCTTGTTTAAAATCCGCAATCATTTAGTTGACAACCCAATAGATTTTGATAAAACTAAGAAAACCTGAAATATGTAATTGACTAATGAAAGTGTTATTTGAAATACAGCCAGCTTTCTTCATGTTTGCTCGAGGAATGATCCGAACTTGGGCCAATGCATAATAAACAGTGTGTACAATTTTATGCCGTACTTGAAGAACGGATTGCCAGATTACAAAATACCATCTCTGGAACCATTGTTACTGAAAGAATTAACATCCACGTCTGGAGGCAATATTAAATTGAAGCTGAGCAATGTGAACGTCTACGGAGCCAGTGATGTCATTCTAAAGAGAATAAAGTAAGTCATCAACAACTACTTTCTAATAATATTTTATTGAAATTTTATCGAAAAGAAAATTAAATTATTTAAAATTGAATTGTACTCGAATCTGAAACAAGTTCCATTACGAATCTTTGATTCTTCGAGGATTTCCAAGGTAATTCGTCCTGGGAAATTTAAAATTAGGTATTGTCTCGCTATCCGCTTCTACGATCTATCTAAGATTTAATGAATTCGCCGTTGCTAAATCGTAGAATTTGTGCAACTCGAAAAGCTAATCGCGTGGCTCATAAATAAAAATAAAATAAAAAATCCTTGAGAGGATGAAATATTTTATGTTGGTAAATAATTCCGTTTATAAAATTCGAATTAAACGGCACTGCTCTCTCGTGACGAAAGCCGTGTATTTCGTGTTATGTAACGATTTACTATAAGATTGGGTCGGATGATTGCACAGGATCATTAAGCATTCGTAATAAAAAATTGCTTGTCTAGCTGAGGATGACACGCTTATACATAACCGTTACGTCTGCTGATAATCGTGATTACGAACAATATAATCGTAGGAATGTCACAGTGTCACGATAATCCGTCGTTGACTCGGTATTTAGGTGCAATTACTTGTTTTTTAAAATTATTTTTCTCAACAGACTTAGAAGGAAAATTGCATTGGCAATTAATATAAAAATTAATTACTAACACGAATTGTCTTAATTTGAATTTTTTTTAATTTATATTAAATGGAATCTCGTTTGTTGGAATGAATCTTGACGTACTTAAGCCTTTTCTTAAATAGGTAAACTGTGTCTCGTGAAACATGAAGCTAAGTTATTATGTCAAATCAACCGGTTAATGACTCGTGCCTTGAAACGACATTAGATGAAGTCGTTTATCATCCAGCGACATTAGATAAAGTCAAGTTGATGGCGAGAATAAAAAGAAATTCAGGAAATCTTAATCAGGCTTCACTTGAGTTATAATTAGCAATAATTATATAACTTATAGGCTGATTTCCTGAATTTCTTTTTAAATTCAAAGTCCATTAAATTGTAGGAATACAAATATTAAATAAAATATTAAAATTAAAGTTTATTAATTTATTTAATTATAATATTTGAAGAAGTTTGATGAGACATGAAGACATAGTAAAATGTACGATCTATTCACAGCGCCAATATGCAGAAGTTGAGGTTCATAATCGACCTGGATTTGCCGAAACTGCGAATCGAAGGCGGTTACAACATAGACGGTCAATTAATTCTGCTACGAATCCGTGGTGACGGCCCCGTGAACGGGAATTTCACGAATTGCAAAGCGTCCGTCAAGCTCCAACTAGAGAAGACGAAGGGCGCCGACGGTGACACGTACTTGAAGGTGTCCACCCTTCAAACGAAGATCGCCGTAGGAGGCGGGAAGCTGAGATTGCAAAATTTGTTTGGTGGCGATCCAGCTTTGGGCGAAGCTGTGAACGGAGCTATCAACAGCAACTTCGATTCTTTCATACAGGAACTCACACCCGCTCTCGAGAGCGCGATTTCGAGCACGTTCACACAAATCGCGGACAGTGTTCTAAGCCAGTTCTCGTACGACACGCTATTCCCCGACGCGTAGCTCTCAGGTATTAAATCGAAGGATTTGAAAGGATTGAACGTCACTTTGGTCTATCTATAGATTTTTACATCTTGATTCATCGAACTTTATTCAAAGTTGTCTATCTTCTCAAGGGCAAAGGACTTCACCGATGCAAGAGAATTGACATCGTCAGTGAAAATAGTATTATATATAAACGAGCACATAATCGATGCTTGAATAATTAAAATCATATCTTTTAAATACATGATTCCAAGAGTTGAGTAAAATGCAGAGATCTGCTATCACATTGGAAGGTACATGATTACCACACTTGAGATTGAAGTGGAAGATGGATTTCATAGATAGACTTACGTGATGATTAGGATTAATCACGAGTGCCTCGATATCAAACTGCATTCTGGAACTCAAGTATTTCCATGATATTACTTGAATAGAAAATAAAATATGATACTATGATAAATGTCAAATTGATCGAAAAATTAGAAATTTACAGAGAAGATTTCCCACGCGTGTAACGTGACGATGTGATTTGATAAATTTTCGCTAACGACATGGAATTTGACTGTATTGGTATTACGAATATGTATTTCTAATGTTAGCATTCCATTAGTTCCTCTGCTTAAGTTTTTTACTTTCTTCCGACTGCTTTAGAAGTGGTCCATAAATTGTAATTTTTCAGATTAGTTTGTATTAATAAAATGAAATTTGTACAACATTTGGCTTTTTTCTATTGGCACGATTGACACGTTTGAAAATATTTCTATAATTGCAATTATAATGAAAGACGATGAAGAGATAATTTCAAAACCTTCTGTGAACTGTGTTTGAAAATGATTTCCTCAAGTTTCTTAACAAACCCTTTAATCTCCTCGTGTTATAAATTTTATTACAGTCAACATTAACAAAAAGGTAAATAAAAAATACGATACGGTGTAACAAAATTTTGTCGCGATGTACAATCTATATTTACATATTTCAGAACGATCTCGGTCCAAGTATAATTAACGAAGGTCAACAAATTGCTTAAGGAGTTCTATTCCCTGTCGGGAAGTAGTTCGTCGTAAGTGAAATGTTTGCACATCTGGTTGCCAATTTTAAGGATCCTCTCGGAGATGGCCTTTTCGAGATTCGGCTTGGTGACATCCAACACTTCCTGATGGGTGCTGCTCAGAGCTTGAGTCACGGCGTCCTGCAGGATCTTGTCGAAATTCTCAGCGACGAAATCAACATCGAACTCCTTGATGGTCAGCATCGTCGTCATCGACGAGAAATAAATGTGATCAACGCCTCCGCGTTTCACTATTTTAAAATTCAATTTCACGTTCGCTTTCACGTTCTCTGAAAATCAAAATTGTGATTACACAACCATACTATGTACTATCATCTCTATTCGACAAATCGATTTTTATGCAATTATTTGCAAAAACGGTCGATAGATTTAATTGCAAAGACGTTTTTTAATCTAATTATTATTACTTGTATTAATGGTGATGGGTCCCTTGCCCTTTATGGGCACCAAGATCCTCGCCTCGACGTCGTAAAGCGCCTTCAACCTGACATCAGGGAACTCGCAATCGATGTACACTGTACCTCCGTCATCGGTGAACTTAATGTCGACGGAGTGTATTATATGTTTCGCGAGACCGAACAGTGTGATGTTTCTACCAATGGCCTTAAAATTTTGTATATTAGCGAGCTCTACCGTGTCGATGAACAACGGTTCCACTGGTGGGATGTCCAGCTCTGGTATGCCAACGCGAAGCTGTTCATTCAGAGCTATCACACTCTCCGTTATGCACTCCCCGAGTTTTGGATTTCTCCTCCCGCACACATGAATGTAAGAAGCTGAAATAGTAAGTATTGATTATTCATCATTTCTTAAAACATCAAATTTCTTTTATTGAAATTGCATTTCATTTTTATATCATTGATAGATTGTAAATTTTAATAATAATTTTACACAAAGAAGAACAAGTCATTTTGTATAATTGGCAGACGTACTTTACTTAAAGTTTCATGCAGTGTTTTTTAGTCGGGCATTTTAAGACGGTGATTTTTATGCCGAGTATTAATTGGTTAAATAGACGCGTAGGAAAGTTTGCAGGATGATAAAAAGAGTTGAGTGAGTGCAAACGGAGCTGCATAATACTTTAAATAAACCTAGGAATACATGCGTTTCTTAGAAATACTCCCGTCTATTTACATATTTGCGAAGTACTAAATTTTACAAATATTGCAAATAACTAAGTCTCGTTGCGTAATACATACTGCGTTAGTTAAAAATTCATACAATGCAGCAAATATTCCGTCTCACGTTTTCAGACAAAAAATGTTTCATGCAAATCGACTTCATTGTTTCTCTTCCGATGTTTCTATTACCAATCTCATTGATTTGCAAATATGAATTAAGAAATCATTGTCCTTCTGCAGAATTAGACATCGCTAACATAAATAGATTTCATTTCTTCACTGATTTCAATTCAAAATCTGAAGACGATTTCTTGGTTTTCAACACTTTCATTGAGAAACGTGAAAAATTCTCTTCCGCGTTCCACTGTCTTGTCACCTGTCACCTTTAATATTTATTCACGGATGTTTATTCACCGATACATTGTCATCTTCGTGATCAGATTGTTAATCGAATGCAGAGTCATTAAAATAGACAGTCTAATTTTTAGAGATTCCACATATTTCTTCGATGCACTTAAAAAAAGGATAAACAAGAGTTCATAAAAAATTATTCCATGAAACGTTTAATGAAACTGGGACGTTCAGAAAATCAATCATTTTTTTTCTTCTAATTATAATCTCTGTTAGCTTTTTAAATGAATTAA